TCGATTTTTCTGCGCTTTTTTTCGTCTGGCAGCCACACTTTTTAGGCTATTCGATATGATAGGCTGATGAAAAGTCCTGTCCTCGCTGTCAGGGAATCTTCTGGCCGGAGAAGAAACTCATTTCCCCTTTGAGGACGATAATACGCAGTTACTCGCCTCTCCAGGTTGGAATATGCGCCGGCGGTTCCACCGTCGTTTAACGACATCTACCGAGAAAGTGGATAAAATACGAGGTCGCGTCGTGCATGCCAGAGCCCGCTTTCGTCCAACAACCAAGGAGTCCAATAATTTCGTTTTCTTGGGATCACGGTCTCATTTTCCTGGTTCACTTCGAATGCTCTTGGAGCTCCGTCTCCATTCCGTCTCGCATTTGTGCATCCTGAATTTTCATCTAGGGAGCAATTCGTAGCTACTAAGATTGGTCAGGCGTTAAAGGAGTTCGCCAAAAAAAAAAGAGGATTTTGGACCCCAATCCAAAATTGATGAAATAACACATAATTTGAAAAGGAGTCCTATGCTGAACCCTACAATTTAACTTTTGTTAAAATATGAGCAATTTGAAAATTTTTCGTCAGGTTACGCTGGATAGGTTAGGATAGGTTGATTTGGACTGGGTTTGTTTCCCAAAAATTTATATTTGAGTTATTCGCGTAAAATAAAACTAAATTCGAGGAATAACTTTGTTTTTGTTAAATTTTTATTTCAGCAAAATATAGTATTATTTGGAGAAAATGCTTCGTACTTTGTTTATTATTCCGAGAGGGAGTTTTTCGAAAGTAATTTACTTGTCCTAATTTACTAAATTGCCCTTGTAAGGATGGCCTGTTTACACGTGCTCTCACGTTTTCTTTTTTCTTTTGCCCTTTATAAAGCTCGAAATTGCCGCTTATGTTCAGAATTGGGAAGGTAGCCTCACCTAGCCGGACTTTCTCGAACTGCTCTCATATGAATAAATATTGCACCACTGAGTCCAGTCAAGAACATTCAAACGCTTTAATGAATTCCGGTTAACGAGCCAAAGCCGGACGAAGAAACCATCTGTCCCCCCCCCCCCCTTCAAAAGTGTTCCACGTAATCACATTTTGGACTCACGCTGACTTGACCAAAGGGAGAACTGAGGTGCGTAGGAAGAAACAAGTCGTGATAGCCTTTGTATCTCGTCCATCAAATCTACGCAATCGGCATGTAATATCCTATTTGGTTCTTTTTTTTCTTACCGCAGTGTCACGATCCATCTGGTATTTGCCCCTCCTTAGGCATGATTTCACCAGGTTCTTTTTTTTCTGCGTGTCGAAATTACCGAAATTGTCTCATTCCCCCCCGGCGACCTCCCCTGCCCCCCCTCCTGCCCTCCCTGCCCCCCCTGCCCCTTTTTTGTGAACATTTTCGGCCCCCGTCATTATTTCAGGTTCAAGGTTAAGCTCATTCCATTCCACTCCGGGCTGCTTAGATCATGTTCCGGAAATTATCCTTGCGTAATCTCATTTCACGTCAGTTAATTTAACGGTCGTGATGCCCTATTCACGACTTCAGTCGCCTTCACGCAAATCGCCAAGACGGTTCAAGTACGCCAGAGATGACTTTTGAAGCCCACACCCTTGACACGAATGGCATCTAATCTGCACAATGAACCCTTTTTTTTTTTTTACAATGCGGGTGGGAAAAACAATAGACGAATCCACCCAATTGAATAGTCCCGGTCAAAGGGGGGTATATGGGCGTCACGCAATACCAAGGTCACCTTATCATCGGTGACGAAATCTACTTGACCTTTCCTTCAAACCGAAGGCGGTCCCCCCCCCCCCTCCCCCCGGAAGGCGGGTCCCCCCCGGGAGAATGGAAATCGTGGCAGGGCGTCTCCATCCATTTCCATAATGGACTACCGAAATGGCCATCGAGGACCGAGTTTGACCCAGTTTGAAATTGAAATGGAGTCTCGGCTCTGCTTTGCTTCGGTACAAGGAATCTTTATTATGAAATAATAAAAAAATGAGTACTACATCACATATATTTATCTCTCACAAAATGTTCCTGACGGATCTGTGCACCACATGGACGCCACAACTCGAACGAACACATTGCTCGAGCAAGAAAAATACGCCTACAACTTGAAAAACTTCTCCAAGTTCATGTCGAAAGTATCCAAGTTGTAATATAACCTCGAACCTCGAGGAATCTCCCCATTGCAGGCGATTTCTCCCCCTCTCAAACATAAAGAAGGAAAAAAAAAGGCTAAGAAAGACGAAGAAAACATGGTCGACAGAGGTAACACATATCACGACACGAAAACGACCTCATCTTCACCTCCGATACCCCTTCCCATACCCATCATACCCCCCATACCCCCCCTTATGCCCCCCATATCCCCCCCCATACCCCCCATACCCCCCCT